AGAGAGAGAGAGAGAGAGAGAGAGAGAGATTTGAAATTGCGAAGTCATGCAAGTGAGCAACCTCTTTGTGCGTCAGAGTGACTGCATTTGTATTGTCAGGTGGCAGGAGATCGCATAATCTGGGAACAAAAAAAAATTCTAGAAAAAAAACCATCGGAATAGTTGCCTCGTCCATCATTGCGATAAGGTTGGCTACTGTGGGCCAATCATGTCTGCACATCCCACATTTTATGTCATTTTGGCCCGTAGTAGTCAACTTTCCTCGCATCGCGTTCGGTGACCTGGACAACATCTCATTCCATGGAAGTGTTGCTCTCTCTTCTGTTTATTATGCTTTGCAACGCTGTGGCTACTTGTGAAGCCGCTAAAGTGCCGTTGCCTTTTGTGACTGCAGCACAGGCAGCAAGCCGGTCCACCATCGACTTGCGAAATTGTCGAACAGTTCTTTCGTTCACCGTTGTAGTTTTGATAACTTCCAGTACGTCATTGGCCGTCAGATCCTTTGCCGCCGTTCTTGTAAGAAATTGTATTACGGTGGTAGCGACACAACACACATAAACACCACAGTCCGTGTGATTGTTCTGTTGCAGGCATTCCGCATGCACAAGTTTACTTCCTGCCAGATCCCTGCATATCACCCACGAAAAATGAACCTTTTCAGGTGTCAAAACCTGCAAATTCGATGCCTCGTGAAGGTACTCGTGCCACAAAAGTGTTCGCAACGCCGTCTATTCGTCTCGTTTTTTTTCTCTCAATGAGTCAACGACGATAGCAATGGGAGGGTCGGATATGCGGCTGTCCGCAGTGACCTCCAAGAAGGACCTCGCATTCAGCAACAAAAGAAGAATCCAGTGTTTGTTACGGTTCACTGGTATCACAGTGACCGGCGCGCGTCACAGTTTGTTGCACAGTCGATGCAATTTCTGTGGTCTCTTCTTAATTGCGTCTTCCCATCCTTTTTTCGTCAATTTCCCAAATTTTTGATTGGCGACGACCTCGGGGTGCCAGAAAGTTGTGCAGACGTGAACATAAGACCTGTCCTGGCCCCGCCCAACCTCTTCATACACAGACTGCAAATAAATGTCAATAATATTGTCGTTTAGCCATCCATCGTCCGACAACCGTTCAATGTCGGATTTTGATATTGGTATGGCGTGTTGCGGAGATTTCCATGTAAAAGGGAACGATTCGACCACGTCAGTGATGTCGGTCTGCTCATCTCTCGCTCTTATCTTGTCCCCTGCTTTCCGTTTTCCCATACAACAAGAAGACTGTTCCCCGCAGGACTGGGGCCACTCCGCTGCACCCTCAGTCAGTAAATCGTACATTTCCGCGCACCATGGGTCTGATAACATGTCCTGCCATCTCTGTGCTGACCTCTGGCTGCTCGATGGCAACAACGGTTTTCCCTCCCTGGCACTATTACCCGTTTCGGTGCGCTGGTATGGCCCCTTCGCAGCGGCCGACCAATTACTACTRTTGTGCGACTCTGCCATCGTTGATCCCCTTCTCTTACCTGCACCCTGTTACTCTGTRTTCCGTGTCGCTTTTCCCCCTTCGCCCCCTCCCCGCTTTGTGGCGTCGCAACTTTGTGTTCATAATCACACACGTAGGGAGAGGCAGAAGACACAGAGGATTAGTTATGTTTTTTAGCAACGGCGAATGTTTTTTGTCGAGATGCTATAATTTGTTTTTTTTTATTTGTTTATTTTTCCTTTGCAGATAGGTGGGGACGAGACAGTTCGTGCCAGAGAGAGAGAGAGAGAGAGAGAGAGAGAGAGAGAGAGAGGTTGGCTACTGAGTGCCAAAACTGAATCAAATGTCACTGTTGACGACGTGAATGTCACGCAGTAGTCAACTTTTGGGGACACTTTCGTTTCGCATGAGGTTTTGGTTCTCCTTCGTAGGTATGTCAGCGTTAGACATCATAGTTGTTTACAACTACTAGAAAGATTTACTTCGGCCGAGAACGACATTACCATCTTGTCGCGAGAAGAAATAGATAGACTTACAGATTTTCTCGTAATTGAAATGAGTCTCTCTCTCTCTCTCTCTCTCTCTCTCTCTCTCTCTCTCTCTCTCTCTTAAACTTCAAATTTATTCCTTTTACAATATGTACTTGTTTAAAAAAAAACAGTCCTCACGGTGGCGCGCATGCATTTTCGATCCCCATTGTGGTTTACAGAAGCGCGGAACAATGTGAACGGTGTCCACGATAGTGTCGGTTGAAACGACGCTGCTGTGCTGATGTCCATTCGCCTTCTCCCATTTCAATTCCTTGCAACCTGTCACGTGTTCCCGTTCACTGTCAACCTCTGTGTACCACTGCACAAAAGCGCACTTGTGTTCCACATTACCGCCGTCTGTGGGTGCATCGACGACGAAAAACATGGCCACTTATGCGAACCACGTACATTCGTTGGCTGCTCTTATTGTGACGTCGCTGTGCACTGGTCTCCCGTCGAACCGCGACGACGCTCGTGCAGTTTGAACAAGTGTGCCCCTGTTTGTTCCGTCCTGCGTGCAAGCGATGGCGAGATGTGTTCATGTGTGTATAGCGAGATCATCAGGAGAAGTTTGACAACCATTCTCCGCCATGTACGTCGTAATCGCTGCTCGAAAATCGGTTCTGAAAGGGAGCTCTTCAAGTATCTTACACGCATGACTGTCAATGCCTTCCACCTCGCATATCTAGTCCTGATCGATGTCGAACGAGCGCAGTTGAAGGATTGACGTATCGCGTAGTGTCAGGGTGTTCATCCCCGTTGCCATACAGTCCGTCACAGAAGACCTATTCTCGACGGCCCTCTTCCTCCTTTTCCTCACAAATCCGGTCTCCTCCTGCAACGCCAGCGACCGGCGCACATGGTTGACCATCTGGGTTGACGCTTTCCTTTTGTTCGATGACATGTACGGTTGTTTGCAGAATCTCCTGTGGTGATGCTCCCAAACGTCTGCAGCGAATGTGTCGGCCACACCAGATCGCTCAATACTCGTTCTCATATGCATAAGATCATGCAACTTCGAGAGTTTCCAATTTGATGGTTGGTATCTTCCCAATTTCGCTTTGATGGTCGTTACGAAGTCCGTCATCAACGCGTCACATTCGTCGAGGGAATCTCGAGTATGTGTTGTGCGCCGAAACAACCGTACGTACATTTGAATTAGCTTAACAAAACAAGCGGTAATGCCCTTGCCTGTCGAGCGCGGGATTATATTAAAAATGAGGAACACGCACACTGTCATCACAGACCGGTTTTGCTTCGCCTCGAAGCGTCCCTCTCGAGAAAAAAAATCGTTGCCTGTGGCCACGGGCAGCACAAGTTGGGGATATGTTCGCGTACATCTCTCACTAACGCATTGCAATCTCGCATCGAGTTCCTTCAGGATCTCTGTTTGCGGTGTGTTCGGCAACTTCTCAAAGGCTGCCGCCCTGAATGTGTCGATCATGTGCAGGAATATGCCGTGTTCGATCGTGTGCATACGGTCTGGTTGCAATGCGAGGTGGTAGTCTAGCTGAGGATCATCGCCTCTCGACCCCCTGTAGAACCCCCAAAGGCCATTCTGTTCAACATGCCTATGCATGTCCAACTCCGCCATTCGCCCTTCCGCCGCACGGCGCACGTCATCGTCGTCCGCTGTGAACACAGTTGCTGCGAGTTGAGTTTCCAGCGTCTGGGATCTCCTGCTGTCGATGAAATCGGCCACGACATCGAGGTTCGTTTTTGACACGGTGCATGTAGGGCATACACCAAACTTCACATTCGCCATCGCTCTGGGTAGTCCTGTATATAGTTGAGGAGGAAAGGGTGGACAGTCACGTCCTCGAATCGCGTCGACGGTATCGTGATGCCGTCGTGCGATGCCTCCTTCGCAGCTTGCAAGACCGCCGAAAGGGCCTTGTGGAAGATGACGGCCTTTCGCTTCCTGAATGCGGTGGACTGTAGACCCCATCCTTTGTCACGGGGTCGATGATGAAGCACGGGAAGATAGGCCAGCAGAGTGGCTTCCGACGCGTGGTCGGCTAGCGACATCATAAGAGGGTATGCCGTCTGTTTCTGACGACCATCTGTGTGTGTCTTGTCGGAGTACAGTGAGAGAGGGATTACATATCGTGAATATCCATTCTCGTCGACACCTTTGTGCGCTCGAATGGTTGACTGCGTGTGATAGCTTAGCGCCCCACTGCGCGGACCGGACACACTGTGGTCGTCCGACGGCGGGGACACTTCAAGGGAATGAACCGTCTCACATTTCTGCAATGCGACGTGCATTATCGATAAGAATGCAGTTCGCCAATCGCGGTGCCACAAGACGGCGTGCGCTTCTCGAGGTCAGTCGTCACTACGCAGATCCAACTCCTTCCACCCAGCGGCCTCTGCTAGACTGCCCGCCCATGCGAAGCACTCTCGACTGTTGCGGTACGCAATGTCCGTCGCGTTGAATCTCGGGTCTTTGAGAAGTGACAAGAGAGCATCAACGTCCATATGTGACATACCGACGCCGCCCCTGGTGGAGAAAATAAGCGCTGCTAACCTGCGCGAGCTGTCAAAAGGCTCGACGGGTTGCGCTGCCGGCTCTGCGTTATCACCGGCTGCCCCATTCGCATCGTCCTCCGCCCCCGCGTCCTCGCTCTCATCACCAGCGAGATTGGCTGCGCCTATGTTGGATGGTCCCGGATCGTGGGCAGCATCATTCTCCTGCCTTTGCGCTCCCTCATCCGCCACGGCGGGGCATGCCCTCGCACAATGCGAGTTTAAAGTCCATAAGGGCATGAAAGGTCTGCCGCAGTCGCACACCCGTGGACCGCTGTCCATTTCCTGTGCACGCAGTGCATTCAGCGAAGCGGACAATGCTTCGTTAGCATTTTAGACATATGGTCGGGGCATGTGCACTACATAATGCTGACCATATTTTCTTATGCAGTGTGAGTGTTGCACGTTGTGGAAAATACGTCTAAGCATGTGTTTTCCACGTATCCGTCGTAATCAGTGAGATTGTCCATACGAGCCAAGCTCTGACTCACTTTCCCGGACGTGTACACTACCTTCAAGATAGAGACTTGAGATCGGGCAAGCAGAAAAAAAAAAAAAA